GTACTGAGTGCTACAAACAGGACACAGTGTAGCCTTGGGTTTTAGTCTTAAAAGGAACAGCTTAACGTTTTAGAAAATGCACTAATTCACTCTCCTATTAGGTAAACAGATGGAAGTTACACAAGACATTTGATATCTCTCTTAGACCTGTCCTATAAAGATGAAGTTGGACTCAGACTTAGTTCAAGTTAACATACAAACTAGCTAGTAAAAATGACAATTTATGTGGACAGAGCCAAGTCAGGGATTCCCCTGTTTTCCATCTGTTAGTTAAGCTACTCAGCTGCTGCTGGTGGTGGTGGCACATTTACTGTACAGAGCAGTGAATGATTCTAATGTGCTTCTGGGAAATATAGAAGACAAGTGATTTTATAAAATGCTGAACTGTTCCTTTAAGGCATTTGGTGACAATATGGAGGAAACCTTTACGTGTGCATTCTAAGTGAGTGAGGCACTTTAACACTGTGGTTGGTGGAATACTTACAGCTGAGAACTTCTACCCGAGAAGAGGATTTTTGCATCTTCATCATCATCATCATCATCACCCTCCTCATCTACAAACTCCTCATCTTGTGCTTCCTGCTCAGCATCTTTTCCTGCAACCTCCACTGTTGGCTTCTCCTTGTAGTAAAGTTCATCAGCCTCCTGCCCGGGCCGGGTGTCAATCATAAAGAGTCCTTCAACTGATGCAGCGGGTACTTCTGACTTCCTGGAAGGCCCTGCCCGCTCGTCCTTCCTGCATCCCAAATCCTCCTCCTCTTCATTTACAGAACCATCCCTGTCCTCCTCCTCTCCAGCATATTCATCTTCATCATCACTACTCTCCAGTGGGCTGATTACTTTTGTCGTGACATTTGCAGATGGCAGTTCAGACTCCACCGTGATCTTGCACTGCTGGTTAGATGTTACTTGAACGGATTCAACATGGCTCTCACTGGAAGCAACCACCTGCTGAGCATTTACCTTCAATGTGCTGACTTCCATTTTCTCCACCACACTGGGTCGGGTTTCTACAAATGCATCCTCATCTCTTTGTGAAGAGTGGGTGTCCACAATAATTACTTCCATGGCTTCACCCTTCTCTTCAGTGATTTCAGTTGCATTGTCACACATTGCTACAGTAACTGATTGGCAAGGCTTTAGCAGCTCTGATGACGGGATCACTTCCTGCATCTTTTCCATCTCTGAGGTGTCCCCGTTGTTATTTTCAGTAGACAGCTCCTCCTGCTGGTCTCTGGCCACCACTGCAGGCCCACTAATAACTGCTTCAGCACAACCAGCACTGTCCAACAGTGAGGAACAACCATGGGAATCCTCGTTTGGGATGGCATTCACTCCCTTTTCCACAGTTTTTCTATCTGCTTTATTTGATGCGAAATCAGTACTATTCACACCTTTTTCTTCTTCCAATGTTTGGCTTTCATCTTCCTCCAACAGTGTGCATTCTGCATCCTCAGCAGTTACTGTACTGTCTAACCTAGAGGCACTTAAACTGTCCTCTTCAGTCTGCTCCCCAACTTTTTCCATAACAATACTTAGATCTCTGACTGAACGCCTGGAGGCTGGAGCACCTCGGCTGCTGTTATTTGAGCCTGTGCGGCTGCTACAGGGGGTCCCTCTGGCTGGTGTGGAGCAGGAACTGCCCGTTGGTGAATACACCTCTGTCAGCTCAGAGTCTGAGTCCATGGCTTTAGCACCTGTGGACTGGGTCTTGCCCTGTCTCTGAGTGGTCATGCTATAAGTGGGTTGAGAGTCAAACCCTTCAGAGCCACAAGACTGGGGCTCACTGGTATCTGCATTAGATGCTGCCTTCCCTCTTGCTGCCCTGGTACGACGGCCTGTCTGGGCAGGGGACAGAGAGCTTTCTGAGGCCTCGTCTAGGTGCATGGGGATGGGACTTGTTTGCCTCATAGATCTTGTGGTTCTGCGGGTGGTAGATTTGGAAACTTCAGCTCCTGAGATGCTGGACGTGCAGCTGTCAGCATCTGAAAGCTCCGAGTCCTCAGTTTGCTTTCTGGAAGATAACCTGGTACTAGCACTTCTTCTTTGAGATCGGGTGACTCTCTTGGAGTCGGACAACACAGAGCTACAGGACTTGGTCTCCAGCACCTGATTGACTTTGACATCTTCCACCTCAACGCGAGCTGGTTTTGAACTTTCAGGAACCGTCTTCGTCCCTGTGATCCTGCGACGACTTCTGCCAGTACTGGATGTGGACACTGCAGACGAGCATGAGTCCACCTCAGATATCTCATCTTTCTGACTTGTTGCATGAGGCCATCTCCTCCTGCTGGTGCATGTCACTGGTAGATCAATGTCAGACACCACAGAGCAGCAGGACTCCAGGTCTGAGGTGTCCCCTTCATGGGTAGAACCCAACGGTGTGGAGGGCTGCTCTGGACTGTGGAGCCTGGAAGCTCTGGTGCATCTTTTCAGAGTGGAGACTCTTGGAGACGCTAGAGGTCCTCCCTCACTTTTGGTAAGCTGACTCCTGGTAGGACTCTCTGCTTGTTTACTGGCCCTACTGCTTCTCCGAACTGTAGTCGGAGTGGCCTGTATAGCAGAAATAAGACATAAAAATAAAGCTTCAATAGCAATAAATGGATGTTTATTGTCAACAAATCCCATGAAAAGACCAGAACCAACATGTGTTAGTCTACTCAGACTTCCCAGCTGTGTTTGTACAATAGTACAAATTCAAAGCGCTGGTCGGTCAGAAGGGACTTGCTCTAATATTTATATAAAGCCCTCGTAAGGAAACAGCCTCACATCAACGCTCACATCAGTTAAATAAAAATCATGGCTTTACTTTCAAACTGTGCTGAAGGTTAAAAAAAACTCTTTAAATGTGTTGCTCCTCTCAGATGGGCTGTACTGTAGCAGCATCTGAAAATGGATCAACTGAATTCTTTGGCTAATTTTAAAGTTTCAACCAAGTCCTCCACTGACCACACCTACACAGGCTATGGGAATATCTGAGTGAGGTGTAGATCCTACAGTTATACTGGCTTTTGTTCCACTTTCTGTTCAAATGCTGGTTCATTCCTAGTTCTTATTGTTTCACGGTTTTGTCCTCATCTCCTCTGAGGTCGACCCGAGTCATTCCACTTTTTTGTCTAAAATTTACCAAGAGGCTTGTAGCATTTTTATTCTTGTCTCTGATCTGCAGTTTAGTCTGTGTCTAAATGTATGGACTATGCTTTGTGAAAAGCTGCAGAATAATGTTATCTGTGGGTAAGGTAGGATGTCCATGCAAAAATAAATAGATAAAATAAAAATGACTTGTATAAATAAACGTTAACTGAATGAGTTAAAGGTGAATAATGTGCTTTCGCTTGTATTTATTAAAAGTTTAAATGTTGCATTATATAGGATTGAGTATTTTAGTTAGATGATTCGTATTAAAAGATCCCTAGCCGCTGAAATAACGTTAATCTGTGATAGTTTGGATTTTCAAACTCTACCGATGTTGGAGCGCACACCGAACCCTGCTAAAAACACATACTTGTGAAACCTGCTCATTTACCATTAGGTGCATGTGATCTTTTAATCTACTCCATTTGTTTTGTTGTTCTTTATCGATTCCTCTCCAACCGAATCTCAAACATCGTAACATTTACAAACTGTGATGAGAAAGACAGACGGTGTCCACGTGAGTTGGAGCAGCTGAACACACAGGCTAACGCGGACACACGACAAACTCCGTTCACCCCGGACTAAACCTTCACATGGTATCTAGATATTCGCTAGTTTAAATGATATTTCTCTTCCACACGTACCTGAACACCCGGGGACTGCTCGGGGTTCGTCTTAGTTGGGGTCTCCATGCGTGCTGCTCTCCTGGTGGCCACCATCTTGACTGTGCTGTTATTTCACTTCCGGCATGAAGGCTAGACTTGGTTAATCGACAGAAGCAAATAAAGGCTGCGCAGACGATCGCAGAGCTACAACCCGACGAAATTGTAAACGTTAACCTTTTCTCTCCATTTATGTAATTTGTTAGTTTGCACTCTTTGCATATACCATTAACTTGTAAAGGAACCACACCTGTCACATAAAGTAAAATATTCCCCTCTAAAATGGAACAGAAAAATGTAAAGGTAGAGTTAAACTAATGTTTTTAATAACTTCAAATCTAGAGCCAAATTTAAGGTTGACATCAATGATTCTCCAGGAGAAAGTTGTCAAGTTCAGCTAAATCGGGGCCTGACGAGTTCACACAATCTGGTTCAGAAGAGCGTGAAGCTGGACCTGATCTTCAGTTGACCATATTCACTAATGTCTAAAGATCTTGATAGCTTTAATAATTGCACCGCCTATGTTTATTCAGTCATTTACATGTTTTACACATAAACATGCGTTTCATCATTTTAACCAAGCCGATTCGTGATATACAGATATGACAACGTTAAAGACGTTTACAGTACAACAGAGAATTTGTTTACATGAGATTTACTTGTACTGGACCCTGTCTAGAGAAACAAACATGATTCATAAATAAAAAGTTAAATTTTCCAGTGCTATAACAACAACACATAGTGAGGACATCATCCTGCTATTTATGCCCATATCAAAACACTGCTGATACTCAACTCTAAAATCAATCTCAAGAGCAATACATGGTTAGAAAAAAAGTATGATAAAATAGTTTTAAATAATCACATAATTGTCAGTTTAACCAGTTAAAGTTTCATTCAACCTACATAAAATAATCTCATATGTGGCTGGGTTTGAATTAGTGCATTGTTTTTCTCAATTAAGGATCGCTAATGGCGTTACATACAGCAGGAAAAATCTAAATTGTATGAATGAAATCAAGGCATTTTTCCATATAAGAAATGTTTATAATTCTCCTTTCAAAATGTCTGGAATCATCCTGAATACACTTTCTACCTTTTTCCATTTGCTACTCATAATCTTTTCATCCATACTGATACACTGTAAGTGAAGCTTGATTTGGGGGTATGAGCATAGAAGGAGCAGAAAATGAGAGGCACTTCATATCAAAACAACATTAAGGAACCTTCATCTTGGCTCAAAGTTTAGCAACCAACATTTTCCATTTTTGAACCAGCTGCTGTCAGTGTACTGGCTAACGCTAACCTTGGAGTTGATCTCGCACATTCATCTCCCATATTTGATCTCACTGACATGACTAATGAATACCTGCATCTGTTAAACTCAAGTAATCACAGATGATGAAGACCTTTTCTGTAAGATAAATCGATGATTTCAGGACTCGTGGTGATTGGCAGCGCCCATCATTCAGAGCTGCTACTTTGCATGCGGTGTCTGTGAATGAAAAAGGAGGAAAATGGCTTCATCCCTATTTTTCTCCTCTGGTGGGGTGTGCTAGGGGCTTGCCTTCCTTGCGCTGACAAGGTAGCCCTTAGACTTGATAATGCCCCTACTCTTGACAATGACGTTGTAGCGCAGGACCCACTCTAGCCTCCAGTCAGCAACATTCAGGTCCTGCAGCCCGTCCTGCAGCCCGTCCTGCATCGTCTCCTGGAAGGTGCCTGCTGACATCAGCTCTGAGAATAGAAACGCGAAGCCAGGAGAGGAACGTTTTAAAAAAATATCCACAGGTACATATGAGCTACAACATACAGTTCACTGTGCAAAGCACAAGAAAATGAGATGCCAGATACTTTGGATTAGACCAAATGCAATGCATTTATTGATTTTTTTTTTTTTTTTAAAGATAGGCTTAAAGGATCAATTGTGATTCTCTATCATTTTCTTATTGTCAACCAATCTCACAAAAAGACCAAAACCAACAATGTGTTAGTTCATCTCTAAATAATTTCTAACTTTCCTACTCTACCTATGGTGCAATTATTCCTAATAAAAGGAGTAAATGGGTCACAAACACATACTTTCACTGCAGCTTTTAACAAATATTACTGATACAGGAGTAGATAATGAATAATGCTGGGAACACATTTTGGATGCCAGTTAGCAGGAAAGTGTTTGTAGGATTAGTCAAAATAAACAACAGTGCCCATGTATAGTAATGAAAGAACAGCAATGGACCTCTAAGGTAAGAAGGGGTAAACTACTATAACACACAAACAATTGACAGCTACTGAAGGATCAATTCATTGATAGTTTTGGTCTTTTCACTACTTTTGTTGACACAAGGAAAAATATAAAATATCAACACTTTTCTGTTTTACTAAGGATAGAGCACTTGATTTGGGAGTCTCTTTAAACTTATCTACAAGCTTCACTATTTGCTGAATCATACATAAGTGCAGGCACTGATAACTAAAATTAAACAAACCCATCTGAACAACAGAGAAAATGAACTTTTCTTTCACCTTTGGGATCGTTATGTGTGAGGAGCTGGATGTCAAACTCTTTAGCAAAGGCTGTCAGGTCAGGAGGCATCACACAGCAGGAGGCCAGGTTGACCTGGTTACTGCTGGGCTTCACCTGGTCCCACAGAGGGAAAATGGTCAGTTATTGGCTTCCTTTGTTTTACCACAGAAAGCCAGTTTTTTATGCCTCGATGCCAGCAATCATCGCGGCCGGAGGCATTATGGTTTCGGCTTGTCTGTCCATCCCATTCTTGTGAACGCAATATCTCAGGAAGGCCTTGAAGGAATTTCTTCAAATTTGGCAAAAGTGATGAACAGATCAGATTTTGGTGGTCAGAGATGAAAGGTCAAGGTCACAGTGACCTCATATTCATCCCATTTGTGTGAATGTGATATGTCAGGAACACATTGAGGGAATTTCTTCATATTTGGCACAAGTGTCCACTTGGACCCAAAGATGACCTGACTAGATTTTGGTGGTCAAAGGTCAAGATCAATGACCTAACTTCTGCCCCATACCCATGAATTTGACTGGTTGGTGGAGGCGTACAAACGTGAAGCAGTAATTCTAGTTATCTGCCGTTCTGACCTACTGTCCAAAGTTAACATCACGGTTTCTTCTGAAGATGAGGCTAACATACTAAGGCTAACAAGAGTATCACTGACCTGAGCCCAGTTGTATAGCTGTTCCAGTAGATCTTTGTCCAGGTCAGAGGTGCCAATGGCTGCGATCTGCTGGCTCTTGACCAGTGTCTCCAGCTCCTCCCAGGCTGGCTGAAGGTGGGCCAATGTCTGGCTGTCATTCTCCAAGGGCCCAGGTGGCGCTATGATAACAGAGTCGAGCTGAGACACTGCCAGTGTCTGGCAGGCTACAGATGAGTGACAAATAAGGCCACACTGTGAGAAAGACTTCAGAATTTTAAAAAATAAAAGGTTCATATCAACTGCATGTTATTTTAAACACATATTAAAATTCTGTCGAAAAGACTTGAAGCTCACCCATCTCCACTGCATCTCTGATAGATGACTGAACTGACTCACACAGGAATAGTTTAGCTGCAAAAACAAGGCAACCATAAACATGTCATCCCCCACATTCTGTAGTCTAAATCATTTGTAATATTTATTACTTAATTATTTATTCTTCATTCAGCAAGTCATTAATTAAGGATGCTCTGGTCAATCGTTCATCTAATTGTGTGACTTGATCTGAAGCGCTTAAAATAAGTGAGGCAAATAAATGGAAAACCTATTTTGATTGGAATATGTGTGCTTTTTCAATAGCTACATGCTTGTTTTACTGTCTGTGTGCGTGGTTTACAAGCTGCACTGTACGCTCCAGGGAGTATTCACCACCACCACACAGAAGATTACTGGCTGCCCTCTCCCCACCCTACAACAACTGTACAGTTCCCGCTGTCTGAGTAAAGTCTGGAATATCCTAAAGGACTCATCCCACCCCAGACACAGCATCTTTGAACTGCTACCCTCAGGCAGAAGATACATAGCAGTTAGTCTCAGACAAACAGACTTAAAAACAGCTTTTATCCAAGTGCAATACAGACCCTGAACAGTACAATATGAGTGTATAAGGCTTTTACATTTTTTTAATTTATGTATTTAAAAAAATTTTTATAAGGACTGCTTTTTAAATTTCGTTGTACAATGTACAATGACAAATCAAGTTCTATTCTATTCTATTCTAATGCATAGTAGTACAGAGAGGAGGCACACACACACCACCCAACCCTCCACCTCCCCTCCACTACATGTCTCGGGGGGCATGAATTAAACATCACATATGGGTGTTTGGTGAATTTACATCATTAACATTAGAATGCTGGTTTTCCAGGAGAAGGGTCAAGGTAATGCAAGTAAATTGAGAATTTATTGGGGTCAAAGTGTTTATTCGTCATATGCACAGTTAGGAAACATGTTTCCTTGTACAATGAAATTCTTACTTTGCCGTCCACATGAATGCCACAAAATACAAATGAAATATAAAGTAGATGAATAAGTAACACAAAATCTAAGGCACTTTAAGCAGCAATATAATAAAAATATATAAGAATATAACAAAATGTATGCTGCAGCATGTGCAGCAGTCAACAGTCAATGTGCAATTATGCATGTGCAAACTGAGAATGTAAACCGTACATGACATATTTCCTGGTAATAAACTTTTTCAGTCTAGAGTTTTTCAGTCTAGCGGTCCTGCATTTCACACTTCTGAACCTCTGGCCAGAGGGTAGGGAGGTGAACAGTCCATGCTGGGGGTGGGTGGGATCCTTGAGGATGGAAGCAGCTTTCCTTTTTTGTCTGATCATTGTGGAAGAATTTCTACTTCTTTTTCTTTGACACATTGTATTTATTTTGTACACAATATACATTATTCTATGGGCAGCCCCCCAAGATCCCACAAGACCTGTGATTGTGACAAAAGCTATTTAAAAATAGGTCAGTGCAAACCATCACATGCAGAGAGTGGTAAAGACTGCAGAGAAGATCACCAGGACTCCACTGCCCTCTCTGCAGAGCATTTACCACCGCAGGGTGTGTAGGAAAGCTGCCTCCATCCTCAAAGCTCCCACCCACCCCCAGCATGGACTGTTCACCTTCCTACCCTCTGGCCGGAGGTTCAGAAGTGTGAAATGCAGGACCTCCAGAATGAAAAACTCTTTCTTTCCCTCTGCCATCAGACTCCTAAACAGCTGAGGAGTTTATTACCAGGAAATACATCATGTACTGTTTACATTCTCAGTTTGCACATTGACTGTTGACTGCTGCACATGCTGCTCCCATGCAGCATACATTCTCTTATTATATTCTTATTATTAAAGTGTCTTAGATTTTGTGTTACTTATTTATCTACTTTATATTTCACTTGTATTTTGTGGCATTCATGTGGAGGCAAAGTAAGAATTTCATTGTACAGGGAAACACGTTTCCTAACTGTTCATATGACAAATAAACACTTTGACCTTTGACTAATTGCAGTGCGCTCAGAGAAGGAAAGAAAATAGTTTAAGAAGTGTGTGTCTGACTCCATATATCAAATTTCACTTAGTACAATACAATGATTAACGAAACCCACACAAATGTAACTAACTGAAGGTGTGACATTGCAGATGTAATGCTATTGCAGATGACCAAATCAGGACTGACCTGAGACCTTCACCTCCTCCCTCTCTTCGGGTGTGATCACATCCGTTTCCTGGGGAACGAAGCAGTCCAGTGTATCTGGAAAGTCCTGCATAAGAAAAACACTTCATTTCTAAACTGTTTAACCTGTTATGTGATTGGAGCCCTGTTCAGGTATGAAATACATAATTTTACTACATCGACCTGTAATTACTGTTAATCTGTTACAAAAGTGTTCATTTGGGTTTTGTTTTTTTGGACAAAAACATTACGGAGAAAGTCACTATGACACTGCGCCACTGAAAACCTGCTTTGATTTAAAGACAGAAGACTGTTTTGTTTCCTTCAGGCTGCAGCACTTATGGCTCTTCAGATTATTTTACAGTCAGAGGCTTAAAGACACTTTCTTCCAAGTGGATTCATTAATGCAGTCTCTCAAATTTTATCATTTGTTAGATTAAAGCCAATTTTATAATGTAAGATGACAAGAAAGAGGGCTACAGAAATATAGTTTCTGTGCACTCGCATGTTGTATATGATATTTAGCATATGACATAAAAGACAACATAGGACATAAGTACTGGAAAACATATATACACACACACACACATATGAAAGCATGACACCTCCAAACTACAGCCACAATTAGAATTATGTGAAAAACTGTAGCTTGGGTTAGAAGTTAGAAGCTCATGCATAGTTCACACACAGCTATAAGGTCTGAAGAGCCTCATGTGAAATCATACAGGAGAGAAGCCAGTCAGGTGAGTTTGTGGCAAAACCTTTTGCAGCACCTGCATATTGTTGTCTTTTACTGCATATGATAATTCATACTCAGAAAATAGAAATGAAGTGACATTCATTACTAGATGACTAGTTAAAACATTTCAAAATGCACCTGTATTGATTTGCATTTTGTGACTTTTGGTCGAATAAAAGACTTTTTCCAGTCATATTTCATCACTGAAGATCTAAAGAGTAATAAAATATCATGTCATTCCCATGAACCCAATATCGTTTACTGTCTCATCTTGTGAGCTAAGTGTATCATCACACCCCTAACCACATTCAGTAGATACATATCCAAATTAGCAGGATTAGTTGAGCCTGATATCAGCATGTTAACCTGAATAACAGGACCCTGGTCTGATATTTATTGGGCTGTACAGTGTTAATAATGTCACGGTTTTTTGATTTTTCCCTGAAGGAAAAAAACATTTAGCACTGATTTTCCATGCATTAATTCAAATGTATGCTTTTTAAAACCGATTTTATTTTCTTTGTGGATGAGAGAATTGATTGATACATGTATTACAGTACTAATAATAAGGTGAAATGAGCATTTAGTTGCTCTTGGGCACATGTAACATTGTGTTGTTGTGGTCTCTCTGACAGCATTCACTTTGGATTTGTGTAGTGCTGTAAGTGATACAAAAATGTTACCATGTTTGAACCAATAAAATTCCTTTACTGGCTTTTCACTGCTAAAATAGCATGACATGAACTTTGAAAAATGTCAAGCTTCACATGAACATGTTACAAAACTTGTTTTGTGTTTTTATCCTTGCAAAAAAAAAGATGACTCTGAACCCATGACCCAAAAAATCCCATTCTACACATTTCTCTGTGGGGGATTTGTCTATAATAAGTTTCACAAGAGACCAGTCCTAAAACCTCCCCCAGGCCTGTGTGAGTCCAGTGGGCATGAGGATAAAAGATGAAGGTGATTAGTGGAGCCCAGCAAAACAGCCGGAGCCCGTCACTATTTTGAATCCTGCTGCCTTGTTAAATCTTGATTACATTTTTAAGAACATGTTGATACACACAGAATATCCAATGCTATCACAGTTAATGGACAAAACATCCTCACCCCCACCCACCACCCATCCTAACACACACATTCGGAGTGGTGGCTTTGGTAGCCAGCACTGCATGAATACTCATCATGACAGATTCTTTTCAGTCGGCGCAGAGGTAGCCTCTAATGTCCATCACTGCAGTTAATTTACTTAGCACGATGTTATGTAACTGCAGGTCTGGCCAGCACTGACCGTCAATGCAAATACTACTGTGTTAATTTGACTATACACATGCAAAACTGGTACACATTGTGTGTTCAGTGAATTAGGTGAACTACTGTACTCTCTAAAGCACTACATGAAAACATTAAGGACACAGTCTCCCCACCTCGGACGAGGGCTTTGTCGTAGAAATCCAGTCGCTCAGTGTAGCCTGAATGCAGTCCTGAAGCTGAGATATCACACAGGAAAAAAATGTGGTTAAATTAACACCAGTGAAATGTGGGAATCTTTTTAAACTGAGACTTAGCAAAAGCTGAACAACTCTGTATTCTCAAGAGACTCAGCATAGCAGTCAAAGTAGTGGAGACAATGAAAAAACGCCAAGTTTAAGCAGTGATGAATGAATATTTCACTTTGAATCTAAAGCCACTATTTACAAAAGGATACACATCGGGTGTGGAGCTGCACTAGTAGTTTAAGAAGGGCATGGATGAGTGAGAAATGTTGAAGGCAGCAGGCCTTTAAGAGACTGAACACTGGGTTTACAAACATCAGCTCTGACACTGCCTTCATGTCACATGGAACAAACGGCAGAGATGGGAAAGATGCCCATTTTTATGACTTTTAATAATAATAATAATAATAATCTTTATTTGTACCGTACTTTCCATCTCAAGAGCACAAAGTGCTACAGCAATAAAAACATAGTAATACAATATCAGTTAAGAACACTCAAACAGACAGAAGCCAAATAGATATCCAGCGTCTGATATAGGCCAACTCCCAGCCGGCTCTCCCACCGGGGGCTTAACCGTGGTGGCCCAGAGGAGCAATACACACACTAATATATTAAAACTAGTTAAGAAATAAATTATTAAAGGTGACGAAGTATAGTTGCCATATTTGTCAGTGAAGTATAAAAACAGTGTCAACTGGCAATGTAAGTCCAATTACCTTGCACAATAGAAACATAAGGCAGCCATGTTTATTTAGTTTTCACATTATAAAGTGCAGGCTTATAAATATATATTCATATGATATATCATCTGAAGCAACTATTAAGAAAGTAACAAGTTGACCTAAATCCTCTTATGAAACATCTGCCACACCTTTGCAGTGCCAGAACAACTAGTCAATCAAGAGATTTGTAAGTCAACAGAAAATATATTTTCATTGACACTAATATATTTTCATTGACACTAAATTGTACAACATTAAGCAAACTGCCAAACACTGCCTTATATGTTCATATGCACTTCACTACATTATAGAGGTAAATATTGTACTTTTTACCCCACTAAAATATTTGACAAATTACTTTTCAGAATCAAATGAATAAAACAAAATACAGTACAATCATAAAACGTTTGATCCCAGGTTGCAAATTCACAAGCTACCCAGAAATATGTGCCTTTAAATTATAAATATATAAGGTAACTTAGGTAACACTGGTCCCACCTTTACCAGCTGCAGCATTTAAATGATAAACACAACTATATATCAATAATTATAGCCCAATACATTAATGCCAAATGTGCCATTTTGCATAAAGAGTAACCTACTGATTTATCACATTTATAGACTGAACCTGTAGCTACTCCACTTTAGCTCACACACGGTCCTTTAAATACAGGCCTCGAGAAGTATGAAATATTTTTAAAACATATTTACCTCTTGTAGTCCTCTTTATAGACCGCTTATACAACCTTACACGTTTTATTACCGATTAACACGCAACTGATGTCGTTAGCTGGCTAAATATTTAGCCAGGTAGCCTGAAGTAACTTGCGGGCTAAGCTAATGGTGCTGTCCTATAAATTCAGAGGTTTAGTGTTTATCTCACCTCTTCGGTGGGGGAGCCTGGACATTTCTTCTTCAGGCGACTTCGGCTGACTAAATTCCCGGTGTGGAACCGGAGAGTTTTAGCGTGGTCCAACAACATCTTCGCGTCAGTGTTTATGCTGTTGCTGTTTTGCATATCCATGTGCGTTTCGGTAGCTAGCTAACGAGCTGATAAACAGTGCTTTCAACCAGTCACACTGACTGACTACTGCTCTTCTCTGCTAACAGCTCACAACAGTACAGCCCCCGCTGCTATTAAAAAAACAAAACAAAAAAAACAAAAAAAAAATCGATGTATCAGGATGACTTGCACCGACTGCTGACTGGCTTCCTAGTTTCTCGGTTGCTTAGTGGATGTCAGGGAGGTAAGCCGGTCGGTTACGCCCACTTGGAGGTGGAGGCGTGACTGTCCTGTAAAACCCGGTCAAGGAACAGACATTAACTGGGCATAAACCAGGACTGGAGCGTTGGAATGGGTTTTTGTGTTTGTGCAGTTCCACATCTGGCCGCTAGATGGAGGCATAGAACAGTAAGTGCTGTGTTTAAGCACAGATAGTTTACACCCGCATTCCAAATGTTACCTACAAATGACAAAAATATTAGCATCAAAATATATTTAAAGTACCAAAAGTAAAACTAATCATTGTGCAGAATAGCACATTTCACCCTAATGCATATCATATTATTTGATCATAGTAGCTGATACATTATTGTGTGCATGACATTCAGTGCAGCTAGTAAAGGTGGAGCTAATTTTAATTACTTTTAAAGGAATATTAATTACTGCTAGGTAACTTGTTTCTGTATGCGGATCAATAAAGTCTTATTATTATACTGTATGCTGTTTAATTAATCAAATTCTGTAAAGTAAAGATTAAGTATGAAGTAGCACAACATTAAAATACTCAAGGAAAACACAAATCTGTCACAATTGTACTTAAGTACAGTGCTTGAGTAAATGTAGCGTACATAGTTGTGTTCAACAGCAGTATATGTGAGGTACGTTTTATTACTTTTCACTGCTACTTCATTACATTTCAGCCACTACCTGTCTTTGTGGAGCCTGCACACTCCCACTTAGAACCAGAGCAGAGCTATTATTTTTTAGAGCCCATTTTATTGTGATCTTAAAGTCAACCTTTTTTATAAATGTCTATCTACGATGATTTATATGCCACCTGAATGTAGATTACATTACATGTTTATATTTTTACTTGGCATAGTTCAGTTTTGTTAAATACCAATCATCTATGTAAAAGAGCATTGTATGTTTTATTTGTTCTGCTTAGCTGTTATAATGTGTTTGACGCATGTATACAAGTATTGGCTTGCTTTCCTTTTGTTTTCTCTTGATCTGAAGGTAATGTAATTAGTGTCTGGGGACCTTTAGTGTCTGACACTTGAATAAAAATATTCATTCATATTTCAGAAGGAAATATTGTACTACACTACCTTATCTGATAGCTTTATGTGCAAAAAAAGACAAAAATATTAGCATCAAATGAGCTAGTAATTGTATGTTTTCACACCACAGACTGGGACATCCTCTGCAGTCCTCATGGAGAGGACATAGACGGCCTCACACACTGTGTTTTGAAATACATAAACATCTGTGTGGAAAATATCGTACCATCCAGGAGAGTACAGTGTTTTCCCAGTAACAAGCCATGGGTGAGCCCTGAGTTAAAGGCACTGCTGAATGAGAAGAAGAGGGTTTTCTTCTCAGGGGACAAGGAGGAGCTGAGCAGGGTGCAGCGGGAACTAAAGTACATGATCCGGAGGTGCAAGGCTGGCTACAGGAAGAAGCTAAAGCAGAGCATGGAAATGAACAATGTACGTGAGGTGTGCAGAGGTCTGAAACACATCTTGGGCCACGAAAAAAGTGGGGATGGTCACCAGGTCACAGGAGACCAGGCCTGGGAAAACGAATTGAATCATTTAACAGATTTGACTCTAACCAGTCATTAGCCCCCACCCAGCCAGCCCCGCTGACTCACCTCTCTAGGTCAGTCGTCTCCTCATAACTGCAGCTGCTCACACCTCAGCTATACCTTACCCTTCCTCCCACTGTCATGGAAGGTTCTCAACAGCCTACAGCTCCTGACCAGTTATCGCCCACACGCCCCCTCCACCTCATGGCGGACCAGGTCAGGAGGGCGTTAAGGAGGATTAAGGCCCTGACCACATCAGCCCCAGGGTCCTCAGGGAGTGTGCAGACCAGCTCAGTGAAGTGGTCCAGTACATGTTTAATCTGAGTCTTAGCCTGGAGAGAGTCCCGGCTGTGTGGAGGACATCCTCTGTGGTCCCAGTTCCTAAAATATCTCATCCTAAGGAGCCGAACCATTACAGACCTGTTGCCCTGACCTCTCACCTGATGAAGACCATGGAGAGTATTGTCCTCGGCCACCTCCGTGCTCAAGTGAGCCCGGAAGTATTGTGAGGGTCATGTTCTTTGACTTCTCCAGTGCTTTCAACACAGTCCAGCCATCACTGCTGAGGGGGAAGTTGGAGGGGGCAGGTGTGGACCAACACCTGTCTGAATGGATCATTAACTACCTCACAGACAGACCTCAGTTCGTAAGGTTACGCGACTGTGTGTTGGATGTGGTAGTCTGCAGCATGGGGGCACCCCAGGGGGCGGTACAATCCTGCAGGTCAAGAGAGAGAAAGGAGGAAGAGAGGCAGGCAGACCTGACAGTTTCTGCTAATAATTCTGTACTTTTACTTATGTAACATTATGAATGCCTGCTTTACTTTAATGCAGTATTTTTTTAATATTTCAAATATTTTTATTTACATAAGTAGAAGATCTGAATATTTCCTTCACCCCTGAAAATCAGAGATAATAACCCAATAATATGTAAAACACTGAGAAGAACAGAATTATTCTTAATGAGTACTATTAATTAAGACACCAAGTTTGCCTTAAATTTCATGGCTTTTTTGTCTGTGTGTACACATTCAATGTTATACTTTGATGTAATTTTGATCTGACATTTGTGTGGGTATTATGTAATCACTCCTGTTTATTAAAATTATTAGACATCTTGTCCTTGCATGTGAAGTATGAATTATCCATGATGAGTGACGTGTCATCACAGATTATTTAAATAAACGTACTCACACTTTCACCTTTACCTGAGTGAGCCCATTTGTGGTTGAAAAAATAAAATAATTTGTACTCAGATAGACGTGTGTGTGCATGTTTTTATGCCTTATTGTTTACAGGTTGGAGAGGGATACTTTCTGTTTCTGCATGACAGCTCCCCTCTGCAAGAAGCCAGACCAAAAAAAGAAGACAATAAATGTTTTTCTTTGTTTGGAGTGAAAGCACTTGACTCCCTAGCACGGAGTTTGGATCTCCAACACTTTGGGGGTGAACTGGAGTTTTGACTCCAAGCCAGAAGTTATATCCTTGCATAAGTCCCTGACTTCACAAATGTTTTCGTGGCTGAATGGCAGGAAATTTGCCTTGCCAGGTTTCCAAATATTGTAAGAAGCCTTACTGGAAGAGTAGAGATAACTCTTGAAATTAGATGTGCTTAAGAGTCATACACTGGTGTAATGTTTGGCTCCCCACAGACTTTCAATGATTTACTGTTTCTTTATTCATTCATTCATTCATTTTCTACCGCTTAATCCCTGAGCGGGGTCACGGGGGGGCCGGAGCCAATCCCGGCCGGCAATCGGGCGAAGGCGGGGTACACCCTGGACAGGTCACTGTTTCTTTATAACATTAGCATATCTTTCAGTGTTTTACACATAGACCTGAAGCGCAAACAACACAACCTAATAAATTAAAAATTCAGAAAACTGTCATGGTTCTGTCCTACTGCTTCCGGTTTCAGGCTCTTATTTTGTCACCCCCTCCTTGTTCTACTTTCATCTCAGCTATGGACTCTTTACTGTAATCAGTGCTCATTGCCTACACCTGTGTTCACCCCTATTTAAGCAGCTTCCTCCCACCAGGAAGCTGCCAGATTGTTCTTGACTCTGTGCAGACTTTTCAGCATTTCTTCTTGTTTCCTGTGATTCCTGTTTTTGACCCCGGCTTGCCTTGACCAACGATTACCGCCTTGCCCTCCTGGTTCTGATTGTGTTTCTGTGTAATGACCTTCTGACCTCCCATTTTTTGGATTCCTGGCTGTGTGTGTTTGTTGGCATTGAACCTAGACTGTTATTTGACTTGGAGTATGTTTTTTGCATTATTGCAGTGTCTGCCCTTTCCGTGAGTAATAAAAGAGAACTAGCCACTCACTTTTGTCTGGCCTTACAATTGAGTCCGCCATAAGCTGTGTTGGTAGCTTTACTGGCCAACCCTGACAGTAAACATCATTAGTTCAAATTAGGACTGACATCTGGGAGTGGAAGAGAAAGTGAATTGTCAGGCCTAGGCACCTTCAGTTTATTTCTATACTGTACATAGGACTTGAAGGATCATCCTGTTTTCTTTCTCGGTATAGAAATGACTGGGGGGTGGGGGGTTGGGTTAGTTATTTTTTTGACTGATTTCATAGTTTTTAATTCATTAATTAAACAATTTCTTTAGTCCTTATTTAGTGCAACAAAAGAGTTTAATGGTGGAGGGTTTTGGAGCAGCATGCAGATGTTCATGATGGAAAATAAAAAAAAAAATAGAGCAAAAGCTCATAGGTAAAATACAAACATTACAAAGCACTGAAAATGTTTTCTGAAATGAATCAATGACTTCTGTATTTCTAAATTTTGGGAAATGACCATGCATGTAGAATCACATGTGCATATTTATTTAGACCACTATGGTGCAAAAGAACTTTTATAAACATCAAAAACAAAAACAATGAAGGGGTTGTTACTATAAGGCATGGTAACTAATATACTTAAATTTGGAAAGCACAGCGCATCAGAGCAGTAAACAGTCTGAAGAACAGGGTCTTGATTTTCCCCAGCTTCTTTCTAGTTCTAGCTAGTTTTGAGTATTTTTATGTAACCTGTCATATATGGATTGAAGTTGTTTATAGTTGAAGGGCCCATTTGTCCTCTCCATGTACTGGAGATGAATAATGTTTTGGAAGAGAACTAGAAAGGAGAAACATATTATAGATGCATTAGGGGTACCTGGGGGGTATTGATATATTGTATGTGTATATTGCCTTTTATCATGCGCACCTTACCTCAGCCAAAACCAAAAACCACTGTAAATCAAATAGTGTCAACAGTGTTGGAAGCAGTGTGTTATTGGGTAGAGTTTTTTGTGTTGGGGGAGGGCAGATTTTATGTGTGCACTATAAGAGTATAGAGCCACCACCAACTGCACCAGATGAAAGGTTTTCCTCCCTCCCACCTCTTGTGAAATATCGGATCTCTGCAGGTATGTTTCTCTGCATGCCTATGAAACACTCTTCTCTTGCATATATTCTTGTGCTTTTGCAACCCTGATTTTGCTAAGTGTTCTAAGATGTTTAACAAAATGTCAGCAAGATTAGAGAGGGGGAAATCCAGCCATAATTTATCAGAAACTGACTTTGTTGCTGTAAAGCAGCAATCAGAATGCTTGAGATGAAACAGCTGCACACAGCTGGAAGCAGACAAAGATGTAAATCCTTTTAATCAGGGGTCAAATTCATAACCCTTTTCTTTCACAAGAGCACAAATGGTGGTGGTGGGGGGTGGGATTTGTGATGGAAAATATTATAATAATGGCCAGGCTGAAAGGGGGGTTGGGGTTTCTGCTTTTCTACTCTGATTTACTGATTTAGTTTGTTTCTGTGCAGTGAGCCACACAAGAACAGCAGCAGCCATGAAACTTCAAGTTCTTGTCTTCCTTCTGTTCCTCACCTGCACCTCCCTGAGTATGGCACAAGGTAAGTGCAATGGACCAGGTGTGGTTTACACCAGAGCTAATATTGTAATAGTAAATTGTAATTAACCTCATGCAAATTTAACAAAGCATCTTTACAGTAGGTCAGTGTTATACAGGTAACGTTTCAGTATTTTGCATTAGTAAGCTACACTGGTGAAAGTGAGAAGTACTGTTTGGTAATGTGGAGAATATGTGTATTTTGCTTCTTGCCTATATCCTCAAGCACTTTTGTCTTCAAAAATTTGACATTTTATTAAAACAGAAGTGATTTAACTGGACAAATGAGAGAGTATGCGATCATACTCAGGCGAATGACAGAAAAAAATATGTTCATATCTACAAAACATTTTGTTTTATCATCTGAGAAATGGTTAATTTCCCATATGACAGATAGTAAATAACACAAATCTGAAAAACAATTTGCCAGGGGGCAAATTGTTTTTCAGGACAAGACACCAAAAAGTTATTGAAACGGTTTGGCATATCTTATACTTTTATTGAACGTGTTCAGTATTTAAAAAAAATTCCCATGAAGATCTAAATGTTTCAAAGCCATTTCCACACAACCAGGAATAACAGGAAAAGAGAAAATTATAAATCCTTCATTTATCAAATGAAACATCGTCCAACTAAATAGTGAAAACAATTTAATATCTAACATGTGTTGTTTGGATTTAAACACCTCCCAGGTTGCTAAAACCTCCAAATTCCCAAAAATGAAAAACCAACAGATCTCAGACACAAGCTGAGCAGAACAAGCTGTGTAAACACCTCTGCCAAGTAGGAAATCACAATAACTATGAATAGCTTAGCTGGTTATGTAAATATATCCTACCAAAATATTCAGGTTGCACTGTTATTTATATAAACATATAGAGTCTGCAACCAGCTGTGTCAAAGCAGGCAACGATGGTGAAGGTGAGCTTCAGCTGGCTGAGCCAGGATCAGCTGTCAATGTGGAGCTTTGTGTGTGTGTGTGTGTGTGTGTGTGTGTGTGTGTGAACTGTATGTTTTTGCAAGAGAATTGGCATCTTTTACTTTTATTTGTTAATGCCAAACTTTCTGATACTTGTGGGTGCAATAATGGAAATTTCCCAGACAATGTTGGCTTAGCCCCAGACTAATGATTTCATGACAAGTTATTCAATTAACAGCAATTTGTGAAACCCACGATTGTGTTTTCCCTGTTAATAGTGATTTAATAGCCAACAAATCAAATCGTATATTGCTTTCTTTTTGGACACTATCCCAGGAGAGGCCTTTCAAATTATGTCTCCCACTTTCTTTCTCTCTGTCCAGGCACGTATGGCAATTGCTGCCTCGGCCATGTTGAGAGGTTGGGACAAAGAGCAAGGAAAAACATCCAATCTTACAGGATGCAGGAAACAGATGGTGATTGCAACATTACAGCTGTTGTGTAAGTAACAATTATGTCCTCCAGTTTTGGCCCTTACTGAGCATTTTGTTTGTTTTATATTGTTGAAATTTCCCTTTGTTACAAATGGTCAAACACTAACAGATAAAAAGCTACCTGCTTACTGAGGAAGCGATTGCTTCCAACTCAGAGCTGCACTGATGTCTTTGACAATATACATAACACTTGTGCAGTAAGTTAGCTTAAATCAATTTGTTTATGCAGGTTTGTGATGAAGAAGAAGCCTTCACAAAAAAAACAGCGTCATATTTGTGGCAATCCAGAGCACCAGTGGGTCCGAGATGTAATTGTGTCTTTGGATAAGAAAATGCAGAATTAGGTAAAAAGAAACACATGTATACAATGACACAATGCTTTATGGCTTATAGACAAACTAAATCACTGTGTAATCATCATAAACCCTTTGTCTTTGCAGACCACTGATAAGAGAGACCCAAGAGATGAATGGGGGAGAGGAATGCAGCTGTTTCACTTCCTGTCAGGCATCATATATCACCTTTAACCAGATGGAATATGTTTGAGTAGATTTTCTGTTGCTGACAGAGATTATCAGTCATGTATACACTCGCTCAGTACGCTCAACATTATAACCAGTGTAGCAAAATTCATTTATATGAGCCATCGCTACCGTTCACCCATCTGTGACGAGCAGCGCCTGCTAGATATGAGCCACTATTTGGCAGCTTTGAAATCTGTTTGCAGAGTGTGTGTGTGATCTATATGTTAAAATACTTGGGGGATAAGATGAGAGTTTTTATAGAACAGATTCCCATATTTTTGTACCAGCACTCTAATGTACTTTGTGTCTTCCTATATCAAATAAACAATAACAAAGACTCTGGGTTCCAGTTCATCAGAAAAATGGTTAAACATTACACTGTTTTAAGAATGCTTTGACCTCTTTTGGTTAATCCAAGGTTGATTTTGGGATAACTGCACCCCCACCCAACATGATGTTTTACTTGATACTAATAAAACAAAGCTGGCTCTCATTCAGTTTGGATTTGGCATCAGTTCATGACACTACAGGTATGTGCCAAAAAATTAGAATATCGAGGGAAAGTCCATTTATTTCAATAATTTGTTTCAAAAAGTGAAACTTGTATGTTATATTAGTTCACTGCACACAAAGTGAAATATTTCAAGCCTTTATTTGTTTCAATTTTGATGATTATGGATTAAAGACAAAAAAAACCC